TGATCAATGAATCCTTCTGCTCAGCCTCCGACGTGCTGGGACTACAGGGCATGTCGCCACCCATGCCCGCTAATTGTTTTCTTACAGTATATTAGTTGGCAATTAATTTTTTATTTATAGTAGAGACCGGGTTCTCCACTCTGCTCAGGCTGGTTTCGAACCGTCCGACCTCGAGCAACTCCGCCCACACTCGGCCTCCTCCGAGAGTGCTAGGATTATAGGCGTGAGCGGCCACGCCCTGCCTACTATACTTTTTATCATTATTTTTGAGTGAACTCCTACTTATAAAAACAAAGTTAACTGTAAAGCAGCCTCAGGCCTGTCCTTCAGAAGGTATTCCAGAAGGAATTGTTATCATAGGCGATGACAGCTTCCATTCATGTTCTGCTCCTGAGACCTGTTCAATGGACAAGATGTGGAATGGTAAGACAGTGATATTGGTGATCCTGACCCTTTGTTCTTAATTTTTAAGAAAAAAGTTTGAAAAGTACAGGAGAAAAAACCAAAAAATTAAAAAACCAAGAAAGCTTATGTAGTATTCTTCGTACAGCTTGATGATAAGCGCTGTTTGTTTCAACTAAGTTTATTACAAGAGTCAGGAAGTTTAAAAATTGTAAGTAAAAAGTTAACAGTAACTAAGTTAACTTGTTCATTGAAGAAAAATACTTTCTTATAACATTACCTGTCCTAAGTGTGGAGTGCTTACGAAGCTAGCAGTAGTATATCAACATGTTACGGTCTTAACATTGCACCTCACTACTCCGTCACCCAGAGCACTTCCTGCTCGCAAGGTCTATTCATGGTTAATGTCTACACAAGTATACCATTTTTATCTTTTTTTCTTCTTTAGAACAGGTCTCACTCTGTACCCCAGCGCTATTGTGGCAGTGGCACGATCACACTGAGTCTCACTGTAATCTCAAACTCCCTGGGCTCAAGTGATCCTCCTGCCTCGGCCTCTCACAAGTAGCTGGGACTACATGCTCATCGCCATGACCCTGGGTAATTTTTTTTATATGTTGTAGAGATGGGTCTTGCTATATTGCCTAGCGCTAGTTTTCAAACTCCTGAGTTTGAGCAATCCTCCCGCCTTAGCCTCCAACATGCGAGGATTCCTGGTTGAGTCACTGGGTTTGCCCCCCCCTTTGGGCCCCCCCCCCCTTTTTAATCTTTTATACCCATATTTTTACTGTGACTTTCTATTGTTTAGATACCCACAAATACTTAAACACGTGTTACAGTTGCCTACAGAATTCAGTACAGTTAACACATTGTACCTGGTTCCGAGCGGTAGCACAGGCTACCCCCATACAGCTTAGCTGTGTGTGGGGGCTGCACCACCTGGGTCCTGTGCAGTGCCTCTGTGATGCTTCACACAATGATAAAATGGCATAATGACACATTTCTCAGAACCTTCAGTTGTTAAGCAATGCATGAATGTATACCAAGATGTCTAGAATAAGACAGATTTAGAAAAGACAAGGAGATTCAGTTTGCTTTAGGCCAGTGGGGGTAGGGAGGAACTGGGGAAACAGATTGAAAACAGGTGATTTCACAAGGGTATGGGTTTTTTTTTTTTTTTCTGAGACAGAGTCTCGCTTTGTTGCCAGGCTAGAGTGAGTGCGTGGCTGTCAGCCTAGCTCACAGCAACCCTCAAACTCCTGGGCTCGAAGATCCTCTGTCTCGCCCCCGAGTAGCTGGGACTACAGGCATGGCGCCACCATCGGCCGGCTAATGTTTTCTGATACAGCTATTATGAGGCCAATTATTTCTTATTTTAGTAAGAGACGGGTCTCGCTCTTGCTCCAGGCTTGGGTTTCTGAACTCCTGACCTCGAGCAATCCTGCCCGCTCACGCTCACAGAGTGCTAGGATTATAGGCGTGAGCCCAACTGCGCCCGGCTATGGGGTCTGAAGAGAGATGAAAATGTTCTAAAATTGAATAGTGTGTGGATATACAACTCTGAACCACTACTAAAAACCAACCTGAATCTGTTATTTTAAAGTAGTGAGTTGTAGATTTTTTTTTTTTTTTTTTGTGGACAGAGTCTCGACTTTCTATTGCCCAGGCCTAGAGTGAGTGCCCCGTGGCATCAGCCTAGCTCCTCCACAGCACCTCAACTCGCTGGCTCAAGTCGTCCCTCCTGCCCAGCCTCCCAAGTAGCTGGACTACAGACAGTGCGCCACCATGCGGCTAATTTTATATATATATACGTCATATACCTAGCTACCCTATATATAGATATAGTATATATCAGGTAGTTCATTGGCCAATTAATTCTTTCTATTTATAGTAAGAGACGGGGTCTCGCTAGTTTGTAGCTTTTAACAGGTAAGATCGTATCTCAATAAATTGTTAAACCAAACTGCAAATCCTTGTTAGACAACGGGCACAGCATACAGAGGATGTGCCTGACAGTCCTTCGGCAGTCACAAGTCAAGTAAGGTGCATTAGAAGCGCTAAGCAGAATGTCTTCTGCGCAAATTAATCCTTAAATCAACTGATACATATAAAAAGTTC